TAATGTAGTAAGGCCTATGCTGTATTGTTTATGCTTATGTTTCTGTATTGACGATGACATCCCAAATGTTTTAAAATGAATAAAAATACTTTTCTTCGGAAATGCTTTGATAACGTATTTATCATGTTTTACTGGGAACAAATTCCGCAACATTTTTATTAAAAGAGGTACTCTGATTTTTATAAAGCATAAACAAAATCGGTATTTTCTGGCCGTGAAAATGGGGATGTCACAGAACTGGTATGGTCACGTTACTTATCATTACTTATTAAGAAAATATAGGATTTTCTGGAGGAACACACGAACATTTTCAAGGAACAAAGAACTTATTTTCTAAAACAAAATGCTTATGAACTCACCAACTTAAATGTTGATACACTTTCAAAATCACTTGTATTCTCAGGAAACTAGTAGACAGACACACGCTCAGGTTTCGAAAAGATGGAGCATAGTAGCTTCAAGTCGTTGTTTTTGCTATTTACCTTTGGAGTCAATCAAACTGTGATTCTAATACAATGTAAACTCTATATTATTAATATAATGGTTGTTGTTGCTTTGATTACTATTATTCATTTGTTATGATACTGTACATGACGTCATTCGCTCCCGAACATTTCCGCCGTCTCGGTTTGGGGGTGTGACAGTAGCCCATGACATTGCATGGAAAGACCACGAGGGTAGCCCATGACAAGATGTAAGACTATGATTTGGCTCATAACATTCACTCGGGGGTTGGAAAATACGTGTTGTTTTTATGTATGATTGTTACGTATATTTATAGGAGATTTGGCTCATAACATTCACTCAGGGGTTGGAACAAAGTAGGACTGCCTCAACCCCACAACACCATAACATGTCGACATATACAACTATAAACAATATCAAGCAAGTACAGGTAATCATACAGATCATACCAGTCTAACATATCACCGGTGAATACATGTAATAATACAGATCTACCAGTCTATCATATCACCAACATAACATCATCCTATATACCAGGATAGATAGGTTGCCTTCGACCCACGAATACAGTAAGGAAATATCACCTCAGAGTCTGAAAGATAGTTGAACTGATCACTGCTCCAAACATTGGCTCTTCATGTCACATATACAATAAACAGGGACCCAGGCTCAATCTACCATTCTAATTACCCCAAATGACCTAAAGTCAAACTTGTTAAAAGTCAACGGTCAACAGTAAAAAAGTCAAAGGTTAAAGGCCCGTCAACATTTTTCCTTTTACATAATGCGTAGAGGCTATCTACGCCCTGTGTAGATCAAAACTCAATACTTACTCTAAACAAATATAGAAAGAGTTTTTTCTTATTAGGTGTATTGTCTTTTGAAAGTACAATGCGTTAATTAAGATATTGTACATGCCACCGCGAAGCACGAACACCCCTAGTTACTAATAAATAAGCAAAATTTACAACATAAAAATAAAAATAATTTCATAAATAAGGTGAATTATTTATAAATGAAATTACTAAGGCACAAAAATACCCTCTCAATATAAATGTTACCTTTATGAATTCTTTAATTTATCATTCTTTCCCTTTTAACTTATGTTTTATTCTTGAAGGCGGGACTACATTATTTTTCCCACCAAAAAACTCCATCTTATTCTATCATCGATTGACTACGTATATACAACACTACACCTTTTCAACCCAATCCATCTAGATTCAACGTCCAATTTATTTTCTAATATACACAAACACCGATTCAGTTGTTAATATACACAACAGAGAGATGGAGAGAAAAAATGGAAGAAATCGAGAAGGGTTGTTGTATGGAGAGACAATACTAAGGGGAAGATGGATGTGATAGAGTACGTAAAAAGAGATGAGAGAAGAAAACATTACACCCTCTACAATCTAAGAGATTCACCACCCCATAGTTTGTATCCTAGTTTCTCACTCAACGCTTATGATTTTTATTTCTCTAATTCTCTGTTTTTTCCTCTATCATGCCCTCACACCCTCACCGAATCACCCGCCAGATTCACGTCGTTACTCCTTTCTTAATGGTCCAATAAGTCTGTCCTATCATTATTTGTGTTAAATTTGTTTCCCCTACTTCAGATCTATAGAGGCTTTTTATGTTTGTTTTTTTATTCTCCTTTTGTACAACTCAATGTTTAATGTCCTTTTTAATTGGATTCAAGTATAGGATTCAACTTGTAATTATTTTGATTTTCTGTTTTTGTAGCAGATTGGCTACCACTAAGGGCAAAAACGTCAAAATACAAAACTAAAATGAAAAGATTAACAACACGAACTTCACCAGATGAGTGTTCTAGTGTATAAATGGTATACTCCAGCAAGGGAACCAGAGAGGAGGAATCATCAGCAGGCAAAAAAGACTCAAAGTAGCACCAAGGGCAAAATGGTCAGAATATAAAGCAAATTAAAAAAATACCAGGGCACCAAGGATGGAGAAATATGTTGCTAACGTTTTATTATCTTGAGCTAATGGATGAATAAATAAAATACAAAATGGCAAGAAAGTATTAGAAATTATCCTCAAATATCTTAATAGGCTAAGCCTAATAGTTAAATTTTGTTTCATGATTTGTAAAAAACCTTCTGCTTTATACCCATGATATATATGTAAAAAAATCACATTTTTTATGACAAAACTGCACAAGTAGTCCCTGTGATTAGTTGAGCTGAAAATTGTCATTTTGATCCAAAAAGGTTTGGACTAACACCAGATATCCAAACTTTTCATTTTGTTGCGAGTTTGGTCCAATTTGCTTTGAACTTTTTTATAATGATGATTTTCCTTACTTTTTGCTTTTTCAGTTTTTATTTATTTATTTAAATATATTTTACAATTTTCATAATTAAAAATAAAACAAAAAAGAAAATACTACTCCTATCCCTACCGCACCCCTCCCCCTCTCTCTCATACAACTACCCGGCTGTGATATCACCACCACCGTCCACCATCACAACCACTGCTACCACCTCCTCTGCTACCACCACCGTTGGTCACTGATAACCGCTACTGCCACCAACACCACAACAACATAAATTGAAACTCAAGAACTACAATGATTATATGATGAATACAAACATATTTTCTCTGGATTTGGAAAATAAAACATTATATTTTTAATCTACAACCTCAAAATCAAGAACAACTAGAGATTTAAACCCACAAGAACAGTTAGATAGAGTGTGAAATGCATGAGATAATTACAGGCGAAGCTGCACCTGATCTTCTTCTTCTTCTTCTTATTCTCTCTCTCTCTCTCTCTCTCTCTCTCCAAGAAACCCGTGTTTCAGCAGAGTTGCATCTCGTCGCAAAACCCTTAGAGACGTCATCATCGTCACAACAAACCCTAATCGTTAGCGGCGTTGGGGTCGGCAGTGGTCCCCCGGTGAAGATGGACAGATCTTCGGCGATAGAGGTGACTTTGCGTTTGCAAATATCCGGCCGCAGTGGTCATGAACCCTCTGATCTAAAAATTGTTTAGTCGAAACCCTAGGTCACTGCCCTTCTCATTTTTGTTTTGGCTTCAAGCTATGGAAAACATTCACCACCGCCACTGTCTTCGTCTTCGTCGAGGTTTCAGGTAGGTGGTATCAAGATCTATTCATCTGACGAAGACGGTAGCGTTTTCCTCCTTCTCAAGTGATTAAGAAAATTTTGCTTCCCCCACCAGAGACCTCCCAACGCAGCCGCCACCCTTCTTCTTCTCCGTTTCCCAGATCTGTTCACCAAGCTTCAACAACAGAGGGAGAGAGAGATAAGGGGAGTCCTTCGACTTCTCGAATTTCTAGCTCCGATCTACGTCTGTCTCTCTTCCTCTCTAAATGTATCTCTTCATCTCTCTTCTATCGGCTTCAGGTGGTGGTGGTTATGCTACCGGCGGTGGCTTTTGGTGATGGTGGTTATGCTTTGACCGGCGGCGACTTCAAGTGGGTGTTTACAAAAACAAAAAGGTGTATAACAAAGGAGGGGTGTGGAGGGGTGTTTACATTTTCTTTATTATTTATTTTTATAGATAAACTTAATAAAGAAATTGAAAAAAGAAAACACCAAGGGCAAATCTGTCATTTTAGATATTTTCAAAATTCTTTGGACCAAACTCGCAACAAAATGAAAAGTTTGGACCTCTGTTGCTAGTGCAAACATTTTTAGACAAAAGTGGCAATTTTCAGGTAACCACGGGGACCATTTGTGCAATTTTGTCCTTTTTTTTATAGATGGTAGGATAACTTTCTCATAAAATGCATCCCATGGAGATATAACACAGTTGTATTCACAAAACTGAATAATATGACTCTGCAGATAAAACATGCCGGTTTTATCAATGAACCCGGGTTCTTTAACTTGATAATGTAGCCCGGTTCCTTACTGCAAACTGGGTCATATAGTTCTCCCTTTTTATAAAACCCGGTTTCTACATAATCCAGCCCGGTTTTTTGAATAACCGGGTCTTGGCGGGTCCTATGTGGTTTTTTGTAGTAGTAATACGGGAATGCAAAAGACTTCGCACCTAAACATTATATACACACATATGTGTATGTTATCCAATCACATAAGATCACCTTGGACAGGACCAGATGAAAGATTAACAAACAACTCACAATAACATACACCATCGGTTAGGAGCATAATAGCATTCATAAGTATCATTACAGAGATACAACATCCGGAACACAAAGCAACCACTATAAATGCAAGATACGGAACTAATATATCTCTGAAGTTTCAGATTTGTCACAACAAATTTGGAACTCAACAAGTCTCAACATGAGTTCCTAATCTACGGTTGTGAACTCCGTTAGTATATTAATTTTAGGAGTACCCTTAATTTAAGGGACTATAAATAGTGTATAAATATAAAATAGCTTCCTCAAATAAGTTATTGTTGTCTCTATAAATTGTACTATGCTCCTATGTAAATTATAGTGAAATATATTGAAGCTGTTTTTTTTCAAAACTCACCAATTATGAGTTTCTTTGTATCGCTATATATTTATCTACAATTCCATGTCGAGAGGAGCAAAAGATTTCCCCATTTGAAGAAAGCTATGTGATTCGTCAAGTTTGCTTGTTTTACTTTGAGCCTCGATATCTTCATGTGCCTGTTCTTGATCGTAGCTTACTAGTGATTGGTACTCAACTTGTTTATCATAGATTTTAGTCATGACCAAGTAAAGCGACATAGCAAAAATCGTCACAAAAAGTAGATACCAGCTAAATTGAATAGTCACTAACGACTTGGCACGTTCTACTGCTTCGTCTCCATGGCACCGAACTACATGGTGACCCTGTTCTAAGTTCAAGAAACAACCTTTTGGAATCAAACTTCTAGTCCAAAGCATGAAACCCATAACCATGAGCCAAAGACCCTGGAAGAACAGACTAATGGACCTTATGAAACTAACTATGAAGCTTTTCTGGTAACCAATGCCCATAAGGGTACTAATGAAAGAGATAAGAATTAATATTTGTAGAAGCATATGGTATTGTCCTTGGATACCCATGTTTCCAGTTGAGTGAAGGTGGGTGAGGAGGAGTTGGTGCCCAAACGCAATACCTAAAAGCAACTGTGTCAACTCGTATTGGGCTTTGGGTTGAAACTTGTCAAGTAGTATCGCAAAACCAGCGTAGGCTATAAACATCATAAAAATGAACAAGTGTTCGATGTTCTGCATATGGTTGGAAGGAATGGTGCCATCTGTGTCAAACGGATGGTGATGATCTGGTAAAACAAATATCTCCATGACTACGGCCATGGAACAACTTACCATGATGTAGTAAAGTTCCAAATACTTTATCCTTGTGGTGGGAATCCATGGGCAAAAATGGAAGGCTTTGGGGTTTTGAACATGGAGTTTGATATGGTTAACAAGGTGCCATAAACCAACGAAAAGAAAAACAGACCCTGGTGCAACATGTCCCACCAAAGTGCCCATGTGTTAGGTTGATGTGATCAGATGGGTGCTGTTTGTGTAGCAGAATGATGAGAAGAGAGAGAGAATTGAAAACAACAATAAAAGGCGAATGAAAATTGAGATAGAGGAAAGGTAGTTTAAAGGGGATTGAAGGCCTCGAGACTTCCTAAGGGGCTTTTTTAAATCGTTTTTACTGTTTATATATGGATGTTTGATTTCTATTTGAATAAGATAGGAAGGCTTGAGCAACTTATGGGGATACCTTATTTGGAGGCGTAGGAATAATATAATAACCGATCACTAATAAAACATTTTCATTAAATTGTTTTTATAACACTTTTTTTAACAGCTAAACCTTTTAATATTAGAACATCAAATAGCTAGAGTTATAAGTTACAATACAAGGGTTCTTAGACTAAGATTCCCATATATAACTATATAAGTTACAATAGCAGGGTTCTTAGACTATATATCTTAGAAATGTTATATGCAACAAACTTACATATTTTTATTAATTTATAAAACAAAACAGGGTTTTTAATAGTTTAGTAGTTTATGCAACCATTTTCAATTTGTTACAAATTTATACATGTATAATTTGGCGAACATTTTGTTTAAAAACAGAAACATGGTTACATAAATTGATAAGAAAACTCAATTCATTCTTTATTTAGGCATAAACCGGTAACCTTATTGCATAAGCATAAAGCATGCCCTTAATTACATAATTATTCATTAACATGTTGTTCATGATATGGTATATATAATTTCATATTCAAACTCAGTAAGAATAAAAAGAGACTTTGTGAAAGATAAATTGAGTAGTAAATTTGTTGTCGAGAATTCGGAAGAATGTTAACTATCTTGTCATGTGAAAGATGTGATGCCAAAAAGAAGGATGCGTGGAAAAGTATGCAAGAAGAGTTCAATTAAATTCTTTAGTGAGTAACTTATACGCTCGTCTTTGCCATTTTATGAAGAAATACGAGGGCAACGATAATGAAACACTCTACGTACCTTTATTTGCACAAAACAATTTATAAGTCACTATTAAACTTCTTCCAAGTATTCTAAGTGTTGACCATGGGATTGAGGTTCCATCTTATGTACATTTAATTGTTTTATATTCCATGTGTAATGTTTTGAAGATATACATTATGTGTGCCATACTAACGTCCATGTTTCTCACATGGCTTTCGAGCCTAAAACATTTATCCAATATTTTGAAAACCAGAACGGTCTTCGAATAAATCAGTCTTTTTACTCGTTCAATGATTCAATTCAACCGTCAAAAACTAGATGACATCATATTACATAATAATTAAATATAAAATTAAATGAAATACAAAAAATAAACAAACCTTCAAATTACATGTCAATAAAATTAGGAAACTGAAATAAAAAAAATTGAGGAAACTAATCACTTTTTAATGTTATTTTAATAATAAAAATCATTTTTTTAAAAGACCACTCGGTCTGGAATGGGTCATTTCAGACCCAATTTTGTATTCGGTCAATAGGTAATGTATCTTACCCGGTTGTGTGGTCCCCCCAATAAATACCATTTTAACCCGTTTCGAACTTCATTTCAAACTCTGTCATTTTGGATTACGCTACAGATAGCATTCCAGACACCACTAAAACTTAAAATGTCTTCTGATAACGGTGTTGAAATGCATTTTTTATGTGTAAGTTTCTATTATGTTTATAATTTTATGCATTTATTTTAGATTATACATTAAATATGTATAATTTATGCACTTATATTGGTATTATTAGTTATTCTATGAATTTTATTGTTTTAAAGGCAATTATAGGATTACATGTACGAATATATGTATGGTGCATCAAAAAATCGTACCAAAAATCTTCATTTTGACTAGTCTGAAACAAGTTCGGAATCGGAAAAACATGTCTAAAATAATAAGAACTCCTCCGGAATATGAGTACCATTCCGGAATCCAATTTCGGAAATTTGTCCGAAATCGCGTTTCAGATTGTTGCTCCGGACTTGTGTTCCAGAATTTTGGTGTGGAATTGTGTATTCAGTATCGTCCTTCAAAACTTAAATACAAAAATGCCTAATTAATTATTCTTTTGATTGTAGCGCGATAGAACATACGAAGCGGTTGTTACTACAACATGCAGAGCTCAACTTGGGCGATAAATCATGGCTCGGTTACAAAACCGACAAGTTTGTGGGGTCATGTGTAGGCAATCATGTTTTGGTGATTACGTGAACATCCAGATGGGTGTGGAATGTCACCTTTACTCTATCACTATCTTATGTGCAAAGAATTTACTACTTTTGATCTAGTTGACCTACATGAGCTTCTATTTTTGGTTGGCGACTATCGGATTTGCTTTGAAAGGAAAGCATTCTACTTGGTCATCGACTTGCGGTTCGTGGAGTATTCCCCCCCCCCCCCCCCCCCAGTTCTAGTTTTGCAGAGTTTAGACAACATATGTCTGCATTTGTGCCGCTTTCACGTTCGGTGAGAGTGTCTGACCTATTGCACGTGTTCATTAACTTACTTCATCAATTAAGTAATGCAGAAGCGGTGAGAGTCTTCCTGATGTATATGCTAGAGCAATGATTTTTGGGGAAATACCCTCGATAGTTACTCATGAACGTATGACACTCTTCTTTAATTTAGACGAGTTTAATAGCTACACAGTTTTTTACACACATTATATCAAATGATACATATACTTACTAAGTGTAGTTGTTGACATAGGTACCCATGGGTTAGACTGATATGGGATTTGACTTACAGACAACTACATACTGTGTTTAATAAGATTAAGGAGCATTTGAACCCCAATATGCCAAGAGTCGGTAATAGACACACATATACTCTATATGGATTTTTCTATGCATTTAAGGTATGTACACTATGTTTAATATGTTTTTAAGAAACAAGTATTGTAACTGTGTTAAGTTGGTTAGTTGTTTCACATCTTAATTTTGTAGATTTGGATCATGGAGACATTTCCCAACAAGTAGTATAGTTGGTTCCCCTGTTATCCCTTAGGAAGTTGCATACCCTAGGATGTGGCGTCTACACATTGTTGAGTGTGAACGTATTCTTGATGTCACTGCTGTACTGTGACATCCCCATTTTCACGGCCAGAAAAAACCGATTTTGTTTATGCTTTATAAAAATCAGAGTACCTCTTTTAATAAAAATGTTGCGGAATTTGTTCCCAATAAAACATGATAAATACGTTATCAAAGCATTTCCGAAGAAAAGTATTTTTATTCATTTTAAAACATTTGGGATGTCATCGTCAATACAGAAACATAAGCATAAATAGAACTTACATTCATTATCACTAGTGATTTATATCTCCTTAATCTCTCAGTGTAATGTGACTTCATATCAACACCTGTGATATAAATAAACTGAGTGGGTCAGGTTGGGAAACCTGGTGAGTACATAGAGTTTTGAACCCACAATAAATAAGTTTATTAACTTTATCAAACCAAACAAACCCGATTACCCGTTCCCGTTATCTTCACTTTACGTCCCTAAAACATCTAACACAAGGGACCTAGTCTAAGGGACTTTCATCGGGGTGACAACACATGCTTCGGGGGTTCCTCAGCAATTCATGTCAAATAAGGCAACCATGTGGGGGATGGAGTACTGCTGGTGAGCACACAGTTCAAATAAACACCTACAGGTTGCGAGCCTGCTAGCGTTCCACTGGACTGTCTAGAATAGTCCGTGGTCGTCATCTATACTCCGCTAGATGACTGGATCATCAATAACATCTATATCGAGGCCTCTCATTATTTTATTTGGTCACACAACAACTATTACATCTACCCATGTTTTACCCAACACGTTTTGTTGATGTAAAATACATATACAATTTAAATCATTTAAAACGTGTATAAAAATATTTCACCCAGCATAAACAGCAAGTATTCAGACAATATGCACACATAACACATAATTTATATTAAATACTTCATATCTGTATGTAAGATGAAAGGGACCATGCACTCACTTGAAAAGGTGGTGATTCCGAACTCAGACAGCGCTTCGCTTCTTAAAAATAATTTCCTTCGACGAAACCTAGTATTATTACCACTAGAGTTTAGTATATTATTCGCCGAGACTAATTAATAGTCTAGCTATTATTACTATTATATAAGCGTTAAAAAATACTTATATAACCCATAATAATAGCCCAAGTACTTATTATAAATTTCTAATAACGTTACTATAATTAAATAAAAGCTATATTAAAAATAGCGTAGGTGTAGCTCACTTACAACGAGTTTTATAGAAAACCGGGCTTTGCTTGGAGCAGCGTTCCCGAGCCGAAAAGCTCTTCTTCTCGGAGCCGTCGAGCACTCCGGGGCTTCCGCCTCGTGCTAGGGAGGTTCCCTAGGCTTTTCGGGGGGTTTCGGGGCTAGATAGAGGTTCTAGAGAGAGAGTAAAGAGAAGAAAGAATGGGAAATGTGTGAAGAAAAATGAGGGTGGGAGAGGTTCTATTTATAGGGTGAAAAATGGCTGAACTTGGTGCCACATGTCACCATCTAGTGGCAAGACTTGGGGATAAAACAATGGCCAAGATTGTGCCACATCACTCATTTTCGCACAACACACTTCCGACTTCTAAAATCCGTAAATTTCACATACGACCTCCGTTTTTGACGTTATTTATATCGACGCGTAGGTAAAAATAAGATCTACAACTTTCATTTTGACTCTGTCGGCTAATTCTTGACCGATCTTAAATTTAACAGTACGAGGAGATTATACTGTTAAATGTCCGCGTAAAATTCATAACTTCTACATACAGACTCTGTTTTTCGTCTGTCTTTTTACCGTTGAGTTCCTATTAATGAGATCTTCAATTCTCATTTGGTCGTGTAGGCCAAAAACCGCTCGATCTAAAATTCGAGTTTCGGGCTGTGCACTGTTAAGCCAAATCTTAGAAAATTCATAACTTCCTCATACGAAGTCAGATTTGGGCGTTCGTTTTTTGTATGTTCTTGGTTTAAC